TTGTGGGGGGTAATTTCATTTTCCTAAATTCACCTGGGAAAGTGAAATTACCCTATAAAGTAACCTAATTAGATACAATTATGGAAGCTGTCATTAGTTAACTACTTTGTCATTCTTACCCATCCTTCTCTACTTGGTGAATCACTGACCGGTAATAAGCATGTGCATATCAGACATCAGAACCAAGATCAAATGAGCCATCAGCACATTGAGGCTATCAAAGACAATTTATTTTCGGTGACACAGGTTATACACCAAACATTAAAAAAAGGAATGTAAAGAATGTAAAAAAGCAGTGAAAATCTGCTCACATTTCAGCTAGATTAAAATTTTGAGGAAATAAAAAGAAAAGTGTCAGCTGCTGAGCAAAAAGAGAAATGTATAATTTCAGATAAAAAATGTGTGCAGCAACCTGATATATATCAGTCTACCTGGACATGGTTTTTTCAACTCTGACTGGTGACAGTGGCACTAGGAATGCCATTCACTTTCCTAATTTTCTCAAAAACTCCCTACACATCTATGGGCAAAGGTAATGAATCAGTGTTCACTTTTTCTGTTGGGAAATATAACTCAATATACTCTGTCTGAATCATTTCTGTTTTTTATTGCCTATCCAGTAATGAGCCAGACTTTCTTAAGATCTTTGAACTGAATACATTAAAACTTGCATGAAACTATCAGGGCAATCAAAAAATACTAAAATGTTCCCATTTGATGTACTAAAGAATAATATCAAAGGACAGTCGCAATGCCGGCAGGAATAACAAGTAGGCTGGAATGTTTAAAACATCACCACAGGAAAGTAGAAATAAATAATTGACATCTAGTTCAGAAATAAGGTCAGGGAAATTGAATGTTGTAGAGGGTCTCCACTCGGCCCGCACAGGGTTGACGTGTTCTGCAATGCTATCAATCTTGGGCACAGCAGGATTTTATCATCGCTGGTAATTTAGCTTGATTATGGAGTCAATGTCACATTAATGATATAGGTTCTGAACATAATGAAAGAGTAATGGAAGAGTAGGTGGAACGGACACTTGAACAATTACTTATACTTTGCTCATATCAAAAACCTGTGGCCATCTCTGTCTTTCGGGTCCAGACCAAACTTTGGGTGACTTCCAAAAATTTGCCGAAGAAACATACAGTTATTGTCAGGTATGTAAATATTTAAGTATGATGAAAAGTATCAGTCCTAGATTTTTGTATTCTTTGTCCAAACTGCAACGCCAACCTTTTTGAAAAATCTGCACTGAAATGCAAGAAAATAAATGTATCAGCTGTGCACACTGTATCTATGATCCTTTTGGTTTCCATGTGCCTATATTGGCTCTTAGCAGCCCTGTCACTTTAGTAAAAAAAAAAAAAAAATGAAATGCAAACCTTGAATGCCTAAAAGAAGAATGTTCTTACTTACCTTTCCTGCTGCCCACCCCACTGAAGGCCACTTCGATCCAGAGAAAACCTTTGCTGAGGTCTGCACTGAAACAGACACTTCCAAGAGTGTTGATCTCATGGGTGTTCTACTGCTCTCACTGGTTTCTCTTGCTGCCCTTCACACCACTGCTGTGTCCTGTGGTTGGAGGTTAGGAGGAGAAACCAGTGTAAGCTGTGAGAGACCCAATAGATTGACGCTCCCGGAAGTGTCAGTTTAAGTGTAGACTTCAGCAGAAGATTTCCAAGAATTGCAGTGGCATTCAGTGGTGTATGCAGTGGGACCAGACAGTATTCAGATTTCTTTTATATGTATGGCTTTATCTAAATTCTGTACTATAAAGACAGGGTCACTTTAAGACATCAACTGTGACTTTCTTTCAAAAAGTTTATTTTAGCATAATACAGTAACTTTAAGTGCCAAAGCATTCATGTCCACTGACAACATTATAAAGTCTTAACTTGGCCAAGGATCAAATATGCCATATTTCTTTTATACATCACATTACA